ACAATACAGGGACGAAGCTACTTACTCTTGTTAGCATACACACCAACACGAAAGAATAGAACTCCAGGTTGTTGATGATCCAAATCAATAGAAAGTCAAGGCTTGAATTAGTCCAAGGCGGTTACATATCTCAGGAGAAAAAAGGTAGAGAAAGAGGCAAGAATACAAAGAAGGTAATGAGGGGATCTGCTTTATGAAACCCTACTTTATATATATAGCATCACCGGGGTAAGAGTTGGATTGGGTTTTAGGTGGGTAGAATAGAATGTTATTCTTTTATGTATTTTTTTTATTTGGGCTCGGTATTGGTTGGGCTATGCCCGAGGTAGTGTTTATTTTTTTTATTTTTAGATTATTAATAAAATACCAAAATTTTCTTTAAAAAAAAAGAAATCTATGAGATCTTTAGTTCATTACATCATATTAAACACAAAAGGGGGAAGTGCTTTTTATTAAAAGTTCTTTTCTCATCTAAACTTAACGTCAAAATTCTTACCTAATTAAGAATGAAAATATATTATCTCATCCATCACAATCCTCATAGACAATCCATTTTGTGTGTGTTGTATAATAATTTGATAGATGCACAATTCTTCATCTGCATATATATATATATATTGTTGCTCCCCAATATACACGCAAGTGTACGTGGTCGCGCAAGTAATATAGATTATTTAAAGAAACGAGTTATCGTTCCCAAGGGACTTATGATCGATTTATAGCTAACACTCAATTCCACAAATAAAATAAAAGTAACATTTTCAAGAGTTGGTGATGGTTGTTTACTATTACTACGAATTATACAATAACTAAAAGTAACTACTTGTGAATGACTTTAAGATGATGTTTCAAGCAAGTAAAAGACAATTCCAGGGCTGCAGCATGCAATGAATCTCATGTATCATATTATCGGCTTAGAACTAATTTTAGTTGTCAAGTTACTGGTTTACAGGGTTAATTGTATGAGTCGGGTTACACACCTCTAGTCGCCTACTCCAGTTAGCTGCCTAACTACATCGTTGAGCAGGGATAAACAGACTAACTAGTGAGCATTTATATTTCATCCTGTTTCGTAACCAAGCGAGTTGTTTGTCCGGGCGTCACTCTTGAACACAAATCACCTCAACTTAATGGGTCGATCAAGCTCTTTATATTCTCTATCTATCTAATTCCTCCTCTCCCGATTTTAAGATTAGACAGTAGATTTATCTTATGGTGCGCAAGAATAAAATACTAAAACAATAATATAGAAATAATTTATAATGACAACCAAGAATTAATTCATAAACCTTAAATATTCAACATTTGATTCGTAGCTACAGCCCCAGAACTAGGGAGTTTAGCCACTCATGCTATTAGAAAACCACAAAATACTATTGTTCATGCGATTTTCGGAAAATAGAAGAGTTAGGAAATCAAAACCTATTACAAACGATGAAAATTACTCTTGCACACCAAAATAATGTCGAAGCCCCACAAATTAGCCCTAGAGGACTATTTATAGAAGTTAGGAAAACTAGAGCCTAAATCTACTTCAATAAGGAGTCTTTTTTAAATCAACTTTCGCTCAAACGTCCGCACAACACTGGGGCATCGCGCCCTAATCGCACCTGGCAGGATGGCGCACCGCGCTGCCAGTGCGCCAAAATGTAGCCCCAGTAAACTGGGCCTTGGCGCGTCGCGCCCTTGCTGCGCCAGTGATTTTGGGGCGCTGCGCCAGCTTGTACTCCTGGCGTCACTTGTCGTCTTCAACTCCTTTTCCTTCCTTGAATCGATCACTTCCCTTAGGAACCATGCAAAATTGCTAATTATGTATGTTAGTATGCAATCATCGCAATTCTAAGTAAAACATATTAGTTAGATTAGTGAATGTCCTTAAACTCCAGTTAAAAGATGGGTAATTTATAGTAAATGGGCATATAAATATGCCCAAGATCATAAATATATATATATATATATATATATATAAAGGCATTACTTTTATCACGATCCAAAAATGGACGTGATGACACTTGTCTATTCCCACCAAGGCAAGTCTACCTCAATCCAACGAAACGAAAGAAATGCGGAAAGATAAAGCAAGCCAAGATAAAAGTGAACAACTTATTCATTCTATTATAACCCCAAAACTTAGTTATCACGTGTACAAGTCACTAATACATAAAGTGCAAAATTTAAATATAACTACAAGTCTCAATGTCTTTATTTGTCAAATAGAACAAAGCATAAAATAAGAAACAACAGGGCCCACCGAGATGACAAGAAACTTCCTCTCAAAGTCCTTTAACAATCCTCGGAAATAGAAGAAGAAGAGAAATCACTTGATACCATGCTCAGAACCTAAACAAGTGTAGAAGCAAGGAGTAAGTATCAACCAACACAGTACTTATGAAGCAACCTAATAAACAAGAAAAACTAGCTAGAAATCGAATACTCCTTTCATCCCAACCGGACCTCCTCAAAGTACAACCTGCAAAGAAATCAGTCCAACCTAACAGTTTCACAATACACAGTTCACAAGGCTTAGCCACACAGTTTAGTAGTCACAGTTCAACAATCAACATGAATCAAGTATGTCAATCACAAGTAACAAATAGATCGATCAGAAGTAACAAGTAGATCAATCACAAGTAACAAGTAGATCAATCACAATAGTCAACTCTTGTCGGAATCATTTCCCTTTTGGCACAATTTCACTAGCCGGAATCATTTTCCACCGGCTTTATATCACATCACTAGTCGGAACCATTTCCCTTTTGCTTTATTTCATATCACTTGATGGAATCATTTCCTTTCAGCATCATATCACTAGCCTGAACCATTTTCCTTCGGCTTTATATCACTTCACTAGCCAAAACCATTTCTCTTCGACTTTATATCACATGTCTCATCACGATGTACAACAATCAAAACTCAACCAATTCAAGTCCACATTCATGCCATCAAAGCATTTCATCAATCAATAAAATACGGGTCACAACAAGGAAATTCACAAAGCATAATGATCAAACATTGCCTTTTAATTAATCTCTCTTTAGTTTATTAATGATTAATCAAGTGGAACAATGAATCCATCATCTCATTCTCATTAGTCTCCAACACACACAATGAAGAGAAATACACGATTCTACTAGATTCACAAGGTTTAAGAGATCATTTGCCTTAATTCAATCAAATAGTCAATACAAGACTTGAGTCTTTCCCTTCCGAACAACGTCCAAAGCCACACAATCTATTTCAATCAAGTACCCACAATAAGATTTGGGAAACAATAATACCCACATCCTATACTTTGAAAAATTGGTCAATCAACTCAAAAATCCAATTCCGAAGATGAGGTTTGAGTATGAAAATCTTTACTTGAAGAAATTACCCAAGACATTTGGAACTCATTGGTGAAAATCATTTTGAAAAAGGAATTAAAATCAATTCACAATCTCCATTTTAGTTTAGAACTTAGGTTTTTGAAAAACCTTATCATTTGCCAATCAATATCCTAAGTATTGTTGTTAAAATTCATAAATAATCAAAGGGAATAAAGTTTTAGGGTCACAAAAGCTTACTCAAAAGATTTAGCGCAAGAAATCCCTTCAAAATTGCCTCCAAGGATTACACCAAGCTCAAAAATGGAAAATTGGGCTAAAACCCTGAAATGGGTAGGTCTAAAACCCTCTCTGATGTGGCAAAAGTAGACCCAAGTGCGCTTAAGCGGTAATCACTAAAGCAAACCTCAAAAAGTGGTGCCTCTCGCAATAGCGAAGCCTCATTCGCTTCTGCGAACTTAGCTTAAGCGAACAAGTCTTCCCAAAAACGAGGTATGTAGGCTCAGCAAAATAAATACAACCAAATATAAATCATTGAAGGGACCCTTGAGATTCGTTCGAAACCCCGTGCACTTAAACCATATATGAAAATCGACTATACTCGATGTTTCAGACTCAATGGAACAGTCGAAACATGAATCTGAGGTCTCTTTGACCCAAAACTTGTGAAAGTCACAAGAAACTAGCATAATGCCTAAAAAGGTTAAAACAAGGTCGAGACCTCTAAAAAATTAACCAAGACCTCACCTAAGCATAAAATTATCCCCCAAATCCAATGGAACTCTCAAACTCCTGTCCGAGCATCCAAACCCCGAATGCTGATCAAAGTCAATCCAAAGGCTAAATTTCCAATATTTTCTAACTTAGGACCTCAAATCCTCAAAAAGACTGATCTGAATCTGAAAATGACGACTCTCTTAGGCCAGATTCCACATTCTAGGACTGATAGAATCGATAAAATTTCATTCCGACACTCGAAACTCCAAAAGATTCCAAAAATCACTTTTAAGCAACTTAACCTTTCAAAATCACAAACTTACCAAATTCTCAACTTTTAACTCAAAGTTCGAAATCAACTTTTCAAACTCAATATAAAAGACTCGGGGTCGATATCGGGAGAGGTAAAACGATAAATTCACGAAACTTTTCAAAAATGACCAACTAGGTCATTACATGTAAAAAAACCAACAAAAGGTTGTTTTATTTTTTTTTTATCACCAAACTACTCACAAAAAGTCAAAAACAACTCCAATTTATAGTCATAACCAAACATTATTAATTTCCAACTATCATTTTTCACTTTAAAAATAAAATATATATTTTTCAATCTTGACAAGGAAACATGGTCAAAAGCTTTCCACCAACAAAGGAAGAAATAATATGATAGAAATGAAAGATAACCTAAGGAGACGAATATATGTCCCCATTTGAAAAATTAAATGTCAAGTGGACAATCAATTAAACTCTATATAGTAGCTTTTCTCCAAATTCCGTGAATTAACGGGCAAGGTGTTTATTAAAAAAAAAGACACTTTCAAGTGCAAAAGAGGACCAAAAAATGTAAAACATACAAAATTTATTTTGTTTTGAAAAGGAAAAGGACCAAAAATAATAAACCTGAAAAAACAACAACAGTAGGAAATCTTACGTGCACTCAATTATTACATTATACAAACATCAAAGAGGAGATGGGATAACTCGCAAAGGATGAGCTTTGGATGAGATGAAACTAAATGTTTCCTCCATGTCCAAGTCTTTTGGCTCAATGTTTGCTTCAAGTTTCCAATTGAAGGAATTCAAGAGTGAACCCAACATTATTGGGACTAATCTCAATGCCAATGGTAAACCAGGACATATTCTTCGACCAGCACCAAAAGGAATCAATTCAAAATCTTGCCCTCGCATATCCACTTCTAAACTTTGGAATCTCTCGGGTTTAAATACCAAAGGATCCTTCCAAAAAGTAGGATCTCTGCCAATCGCCCACACATTAACTAGTACTAGTGAGCCCTTCGAGATGATATAGTTACACAGTTCAACATCTTGCTCAACTTTTCGGGGTATTAAAAATGGAGTTGGTGGGTGCAATCTTAACGTTTCTTTGACAATGAATTGCAAGTAAGGGAGTTTAGGAATATTTGATTCTTCTACTGGTTTTCCTTTTCCAACGACTTCTGCAAGCTCAACTTGAACTTTCTTCATAATTTCTGGTTGTCTAAGTATTTCTGCCATTGCCCATTCTAATGTGGTTGTTGGTGAATCAGTACCACCAGAAAATAAGTCCTGTAATATTTAATAATTCTCTTAAATTATAAATTAGGGGTATAGGCAGATTGACATGAATTTGAACGAGTTAAAATGGATTAAGATGATAAATATATGAGCCAATAATTTGTCTAAATATTATTTGGATTGAAATATATGGGGTTAAAATGAACTAAATAAATGGAAAGATTCATAAATACTTGTGAAAGCATAAAATATTCCATAATCTACAATTATTAACTAAAAATCACATAACCTACAATTATATTAATTAATAAATTACATAATCTACAATTCATTCCTTCAAATTCATTCCCCCTCTTGTGAATTGGAGTTAATATCTTAAAAGATCACTCAACTTAGAGAATTTATCTAGTAAAGTCATTAAACTTTATTTTATATCAATAAAATCACTCAATTCATGCATTTGTATCAATAAAATCACTCAACATATGTATTGTATCAATTAAATTGGGCAAAATTGAAAATTATTTTTATACCATGAAACATAAATCCCATAAGTAAATAAAATTAAATAAAACTCATTAAGAAATTTTATGGACAAATTTAATTAGTGAAATAAATACTCTTATGGCATTTCAATAAATAAATATACAATAATATCGTATGAAATTTCCTGCTCTACAATTATCATTTATAGCGAAAAAAGTTAAGTACCTATCATTTTCCATGAAATTAAAGTGTTCCACAAATATTTTTATAGAAAAAACATTAAAAACGAAACAAAATAGAAGTTCAATACTCACTTTTTTTTTGGAAAATACTCACCAATGCGATGCATTCTGAAATTCGCCGTAAACAGAGAATAATTTTTTTAAAAACATTCTCACAACTTTCTGAAAATAGAAAAATAAAAACTCGTAGACAGAAGTGGAAAAATAAAGTTAAATTTTGTGACCTTCGAGTTTTCGTCGTGAATTTGTTTTGAGTATCAGTGTATATTTGTTTATTGTAATGTAATATCATAAGAGTATTTGTTTAACTAATTAAGTTTGTCTTTAAATTTTTTTTATTGAGTTTTAAATTTTTTATTTATTGTGGAGTTTATTTTTACATGTTATAAAAAGTAATTTAATGATAAATTTAGCTGAGTGATTTTATTGATATAAATACACAAATTAAGTGGTTTTATTGATACAAAACAAAGTTCAATGACTTTACTAGCTAAATTCTCTAAGTTGAGTGACCTTTTAAGATATTAACTCTGTAAATTGTGATACTCTCGTCTCTCGATGGTAATACTCTATTTTTTCTCTCTTTGGTTTCATATACTTTAAAAACTACAGTAAATCTACAATAGGGTTAGTACTGTGGCTGGCAACCCTTCAAATAAAATCAAAATAGTTATTTTAAATATATAAATTGATCCCATTTACTATCACGTTTGCTCTGTTCATGGTTCATTAATTAGCAATTCAATTCTATTCTCTTTTTCAATGGTTACTAATACAGGTCAAGTATGGTACACACGGAAAGGTTTAGTGGGTCGATGAACTTCTTAGGTCTATCAATGTTGTCCTAACAACAACTTTCAGAAAATACTTTAACCTTTACATTTTTAAAATTCAAATATTTTAAATAATGAATCCTTTAAATAGTTAACTTCAAGGATCAAAACCACACATTTTCCATAATTTAAAGTTCAATGTGTACAATGGAAAGAAAAGGATTACTCTAGAAGAGATATTTTCTTTACTAGTCTTCTATACTATAGGAATAAATTGTTTTGACTTTAAATAATTTATTAGTTTGAAAGAGGGAAAAACGTTTTCCTTAAAAGGAGAAAGAAAAGAACATTTTGTTGTTGATTGCATTTTAACTTCTCTTAATGATGTTTAACGGTTGTTAATTGTTATTGCCGGGGTTAATGACTGATAATGTTTTCTCTTTCAAACTCTTCTTTTTTTGCTGAAAAGTATAAATAGGGGCGGTGGTTCTTAAGAAAGGATCATCATTTTCTAAAAAAAAACACTTACCCACATTAGACTTGATTGAGAGAATTAGTTAGGAAATAGCATAAAACTGCAACCCTAGATTCATTGTTCTTAAACGAGTTTTATAAAAGTTTCAACATGTTATAAGTTATCCTCTCAATTCATTTAGATTATGTTGTTTAGTTATTAGGTAAGATTTGTGATCTTGAATAATGCTTTCGATGTGCATATTCTAACACTGCATACCCTATCAATTCTCATAGTCCCATATGACTTTTCATAATTAAATCGATCCCTTAACCTTAGAAAAATATAATAGGGATAGATGTGACATTCAATGAATCTTTCTAATGGGTCACACTCATAAGAAGGATGGAGGGTAAATTTATACTAAATCTCATAGTTTAAGGATATTTTAGGCCCTTTTCCATTAAAATAATTTGAAATTAATTAATATATGGACTTGTATGATTGGCCTGATTTTGGGTTCCATGGTAAATTAAAAATAGAAAAAGATCAATCCTCTACTATCTACACTCACCTCCCCCCCCCCACCCAACCCTCACTTCCTCTCTCTTCCACTTTTTTTTCTTCTTGGATCTTGTCCACCATTTTAAATTTTAATTTTTCTCAATTAATAACAAATTAAAGGGAGAAAAAAGGAGAAACATAACAACGACATTCATTTATAAATTATTAGTTCATAGAAGATGATTTAATTAAATAACTATGTACGTACTGCAATTTTTCTTTTGTGTATATCCAATATAGTTTTTATCATTTATTTGAGAAGAGCTTAAATTTGAACCAATCAGATTAGCCAACATAATAATACATATTTAATAATTTTATTTTAGGGGAGCCATTAAAAATAAGGGCAAATATGAGCCAAATATTTATATCTAGAGTATTCTGGAGCCAAATTATTAAAGTCAAGAGTATTTGGAGGCCCAAAATGTGGATGAAAGATTATTTTGTACCAATTAAATAGTTGAGGGACAAGTTAGGTCCTTCTCCCTGATAAATTTTGGCATTGTCTAAATTTGATTAGCGTGTGCAGTACTAAGTAAATACCTTGCTAGGGTTGAGGGCAGGAGAGAGAGATGTTTCAATTGATAAAGATAATTCAAAGTCAAGGAAAATAGTTGCTGTTTATTTCTTGAATTTTGTGAATTTTAGTTATACTAGTTCTCCTAGTAGGTTTGGGAAACTCATTGTTTTCTTATAAATTTAAGAAATTCTTTACTCTTATAGGTTTGAGAAAGCCATTTTCATGTAGGTTTAGGAATAATTGGGACTTGTAAATAAGGGTTATAATTACAAATTCTTTGTATTATTCTTCTTATTTATAATGCACAACCCTATATATCTACTTTTGTCCTAAGTAAGTTGGCCCGACTAAATCTCGTTAAATTCTTATGTTATTTCTTCTTTTCTATTTGTTAACCCTTGATCTTCTACCACACAGTTAGCCAGTTCAATTAGCAACACAAATCCAAGTGTATTCTCGATTATTATTTTCTTCTTCTTTCATACTCAATTAGCAACACAAATCCAAGTGTATTCTCGATTATTATTTTCTTCTTCTTTCTTACTTCATGGACAATTTAAATCAAAATAATGAGACCAGGAGGCGGAGATGGGGGTGAAGGAAATGTTGAAACAGGAGGCGGAGATGGGGGTGAAGGAAATGTTGAAAATTTTCTAAAATTTAAAGGATAAAATAGAAGAGCACGAACCAGGAGCAGTGATTTTATATGATTGTGATCTATCTCTTTGGGATTTTCTGCACTGAGGTTGAGTAATACTTCCAAAACATCATTCTTTGCACCGTGGCTGCTTTGTTTTTCCTCTAATCGTTCATTGATCAAATCACCTAAAAGTTTAAACAACTTACCAAAATGGATATTTGTGCGATACCTTATTTTTTGAAGATCAAACTTTTCAAGTATAGGGAAATAATCCGCTAGGTTAATCTTCCCAGCCTCTTCCATGATGCCCCAAATCATATCCTTCAACTCAACCTTTAAAATTAAAAAGGGTCAAAAACAGGACAATATACTTCTTCTATTCTAATTTATATGACTTATTTCTTTCTTTTTTATAATACAAATTTCAAAAGTCTTCCTTTCTTTTTTAAACTCTGTATCAAGTCAAACTAACTCATATAAAATGAGACGCAGGGAGTACAGTTTAGTATACAAAAAATCATAAAAAGGTATTCACAATCATGTTATTTAGTTTTTTACCTTTGAATCCGAAAAGGGGTCAGCCAAGTCCTTGGAGAAAAGGGTGTTGCACATCAAATTGAAATTAGTCTTGAAAACAACTTGACATATATCCAAAGCTTTACCTTGTTGACTACATCTTGCACAATAAGCAATCAACTCTTTCACCTTTTGAGACCTTAGATGTTCATTCACATCAAGCCTATTGGATGAGAAGATATTTGTGTTCAAGATTTTCCGAAGCGTTCGCCATTGAGGACAAACAGGAAGACATGCCACAGAAAATTTGCAATGGTTATGTGCTTGAAGGGCATTAGTGATAAATCTAGTGGAAAAGGGTAAGTCTTGCTTTTGAAGCACTTGTTTTGCCATGGTTGATGAAGAAATGACCACTAGTGTTTTTTGTCCTATTTTTAAACTCATAATTGGACCATATATTTGTGCAAGATTGACTAGTGATCTATGAGGTTTTGTACCTAACAAATGAAAATTTCCAATAATTGGCCATGGTGATGGACCTGGTGGAAATTTTTTGTTGCCTCTATTGCATATTTTTGCTATAATAATGTAAAAAAAGCTCAAGGCCAAAGTTGATCCAAGCACGAGTGTATAGTTATCCATTTTTGATAATCCTTCAACTTTGATACTATTCACAAAGTTGATGTGTAAGAAATTTGCACCTATATCAATGGGGAATGCACATTTATATAGAGGAAAGACATAGAGTAGTATCTGAATTGTCACGAATTTTTTTTTAAAAACATCTTAATTATGCGGGTGTTTTATTGCCTACTTAAATAATTTGGAAATGATACTATTATATCGCGTTTCAATTACTTTCAGATTTTAAAAAGCAAGTGTTATCACACACCAATCATTATGTGACACATATTAATTTGACTTACTCCCTCCATGGAGTAATTGAATTGTTGAAATATTTTTCATTCTTCAAATTAACTTAACTGTTCAGTTTTCAAGATTACATTTAAAGTGTTCTTCCAATTTTACCCTTCATTTGTTAGTATTGGAATTAGTGATTAATTAATATTTAGTTATTTTAATCATAAATTTGACAATAATTAATAAGGGTAAAAATGAAAAACTATGTTCACTTTATGTCTTAATCTACTTTTCTTAAAGGGTCTGAAACACCTCAAAAATTCAATTAATATAAAATGGATGGAGTATAATATATATTTTTTATTTTAGGTTTTTCTTTATTTTTTTCTCATTTACTTTTTATTTTTATTTTTTTTACTTTAATTTTGAATTCTCCTTAAATTTCACTTCATCTCCCACCCCACGTTCAAGCTGACCCCCACCCCCATTTTCTTTCTTTCTTCTTCGCCTCTCACCCCCACCCCACATTCAAGCTGAACTCCTCTCCCATTTTCGTTTTTTTTTCTTCTTCTTTAGCCAACTTCCTTTTTTCGGTGATTATTTTTAAAAATCATACTATTTTTTAGACTTTGTTGAGTTATTGATAACAAAATTAATTATTTTTCTAAGAAATTTTAATATTTTAAAGGTATCATCAATTAATTTATCTCGTTTTCATATAACTTTCAAAATTAAAAATGATAGATTTGATTCTCCAAAAATAAGAATAGCTTGATTGAAATTCAAATAAAATAAGTAAATGATACCTTATAATCATCTTAAAATCTAATGGGTTTTGTCAGACCCAAAATGAGTCGTGAATGGCACCCACACTTAACCTCCTAAGTGGGCGAACCAAGGAATTCAAACCCCAACATATATCAATAATTCAACTACGAATAACAACAACAATAATGCGGAAGCTCAAAACTTATTAAAGTAACCAATCAAATAAACCTCTAAACTCTAACACTTATTATCCCCAAAATCTGAAAGCCATCACATCAAGGACATCTAGCCTTCAAATACTAAGTCTAAGAGTATTAAAGACAGCAAAATAAATGAATAAAATAGTTTATGTCTGAAAACTAAGGACATCATGCCATGACCAAGAGAATCCAACACGAGCTGGAATGAATAGCTCACCCTGTAACCTGATGTGCTGGAGATTGGCTAGAGCTGAGGGAGAGTCGAAGTCACTGATACACTTGCTGCATTCAAAAGAAAACAAAGAAAAACACAAGTAGCGCTCAGTACAAGGCAACATGTACTGAGAAAATATCATCGGCCAACCCAAAATATAAACTAATATGTAATGAATAATAGTATAAAATCAATTATGACACTTAGCAAGTGGCAAGCAACAAACACATGAACCAGTGTCAACAACACTAAAGTAAGTACGTAATCAGTCAACAATATCAAGATCACACGTAAGGACTCATGGCTCCAAACCAAACTAATTTGGGAATTGAGTTCTTTGAGATTGAGTACATTAAGTTAATTCAATATCTTTTTCCTTTAATGTTACCGTGTTAGAACGTGACATTCCGATCCAATAATACTGTGTCGGAACGTGACACTCCGATCTAATAATATCATTAATTTATCATTTATTATCACCACTTTTCAATTCATTAACAATATTTCATCAAGCCTTCTTTATTCAAGGCATCACTTCGATAGAGAGGGTTCAAGATTATAAATTCCACGGTCTCAGGATTTCAGAACAATCACAAACCACACAATCAAGCTACACAATCACACAATCAAGTACATAGAGAACTTCACAATATCATTCAATGCATACCAATCACTATTAAGAGTCTATCTATCAAATAGAATAAACCATAACCTACCTCCACCGAAGAACCGAAGTCAAGCAAGCTACTTCTCAAATAACAATTTCCTACACCACATATTATAATCATTAACTTTCAATTCTTGACCAATAATATGCCATAATTATTCCTCAATTATGTTGCTGTCATTACCCAGACAAACCCACAACAATTTATCCCCACCATTTTCATATATAGAAGTTGTCCTAACGTCCTTCTCATTCATTATCCAATTACACCCATATATATATATAGAAGTTGTCATAACGTCCTTCTCATTCATTATCCAATTACACCCATACATATATATATATCTCAAATAACAATTTCCTACACCACATATTATAATCATTAACTTTCAATTCTTGACCAATAATATGCCATAATTATTCCTCATTTATGTTGCTGTCACTACCCAGACAAACCCACAACAATTTATCCCCACCATTTTCATATATAGAAGTTGTCAACTTTCAATTCTTGACCAATAATATGCCATAATTATTCCTCAATTATGTTGCTGTCATTACCCAGACAGACCCACAACAATTTATCCCCACCATTTTCATATATAGAAGTTGTCCTAACGTGTGTATATATATATATATATATATATATTACCTTCCTTAATTATTACAACAACCTAACCTTTCAAACATTATTTGTTTTATCTAACCCCCAATTTGACCAATCATTACGTTAATCAACTTTGCACCTTTCAATTCTTTAATCTTTTTCCGCTATTCATCATACAGACCCACTAACGATAATTAACCAATAATAGACAATTAGAATGCTGAAAAAATTTCAATGAAAGAGTTGCCTGAAGCCGTCTTTCCAATCTTGCGCTATGATCGTGCGACTCTTTTGGTTTTCCTTTCTTCTGCAGATTAATTATTAACCCTAATTATTATATGACTAATTATAAAAGAGGAAAAAATTGCTCACTACTAATTTTATTGTTAATTCTTTAAACTAAATTAATTATTAAAACTACCCCACTAATTTAATAATATAGTTACGAATAGTCCAAAATACTCATTTAGAATCAATCGAAAGAGTCTTTTATGCTATAAAAAGTTCTAGTACTCAAAACGACCGAATGAGTCGTTACATTAGACATCAATTATCCATCGTTCATCCTCGAATGATCAAAAGAAGGTGAGGGTAAGAAAGGATAGTTGTCTCAACAATTCCTTCAAAATATTAGTACCCAAGGTCTCATATCAAAAATATCAATCCAACCAATTGGAGATCTCTACACCTCCTCCCAACAATGCCTCAAATGGGGCCATCTCAATACTCTAATGATAAATGTTATTGTATGTAAACTCTACTAACAACAAAACTATTCCCAAGTGGACTCTTCAACTGACCGATTCTCCAACTAGACCTTGACACAACCGTCGGGACAAATATTATCTACTTAACTGGTCTGCTAGACTGTTATCTTTTCCTTTTATATATTCAAAAATAACATTTGGATAAATAGATATATTATCCATAAAGTTTAGCCATCGTCTCTTGCTACTAGCTTTTTGGTTTATCTTTTGATGAAATTTAACTATGGCTTCGCAGTCAGTCCGTACTAATATTTCATTTTTATTTAAAACAGATAACTTAAAACTGTTGAGGCCATATATTATTGCTAAAACTTTTGCATCTATACTACTCATATTTCCTTTTTTTTTTATATTTCCCACTTTGATAAGCACAAATCTTTTCTTCTGTCTTATCACTGTATTTATTTGGTCTAGCTTTTAACATAGCTCCCCATCCTTGGAAACTGTCATCTGTTTCGATTATTAAATAATCTGTTTTTAGTGGTATGCTTAATTCGGGAATATTTTTAACTTTTTCTTTGATTAGTTTTACTAATTTTATGTCTTATGTGTTGAAATGTTTTTGCTCTTTGCTACCTGTTTTTGAGTATAATGGTCCTGCTAATTTTCCCAAGTCTTTAATAAAGTTTCTAGCATAATTTACCAATCCTAGAAATTTTTGTAAATCTTTTGTATTGTCTAATTTATCAGGCATATCTAATACTTTTGTCGCTATATGTGGTTGTAATTTAATTTTTCCTTCTCCTAATGTTACTCCTAAAAAATTTATATGGTTCTTACATAATTCCATTTTCTTTTTACTTACTATTATTCTATTTTTCACAAATAATCTAAATACTGTCTGTAGATGTCCTAAATGATCTTTAATGTCTTTGCTAAATACTAAGATATCATCTACATATACTAAGATGAATCGTTTATAGTCTCCGAGTATATTATCCATTTTTCTTTGAAATATTGGCGGGGCAGTTTTTAGCCCAAATGGCATAATTAACCATTCAAAATGTCCTTTAGGGCAAGTGAATGTTGTCCCTTCTATGCTTTCATCATGCATTTTTACCTGCCAATATCCTGATTTACAATCGAATTTACTAAATATCCTTTTTCCTTGGATTCGATTGATTAATTCATTTTTATCTAGTAATTTATATGCATCTGTTCTAGTGTTATCATTAAGTCTTTTGTAACTAATTATCATTCTTGTTTTACCTCTCACTATCTCACTATGATTTCTTACCATGAATGTTGCTGACCTATGTTTGGATGTAGATCTTCTTATTACTCCCAAGTTTAGTAATTCTTTTATCCGTATACCAAAATCCTCTAAGTCTTGATTAGTTGCTTCAATAGCAGCTGTTTTTATTATGTATTCAGGGTTTATGATATCTAATTTACATACTACCTTATTATTTTCCCAATATTTTAAAGGTTTCTCCCCTATTATTTTCATTTCGTCTAATATTTTTACTATATTGTCCAAGTCTTTAGGACTTCTAATTGTACCTATCCTATCGATTCCTGTTTGAAAATTATAGAATTCATTTTCTACTTCTATCAAAGTATAATCTTTTTCTCTTATATCGTATTTTTCTTCTTCCTC